GGCCGGTCTGGGAGCTGGCCGGTGCTCTGCTCATGCATCCCCAGCTGGCCCCCGGCTCACCCTGGAGTCCCCACCTGGACCCCTCAGGACACCCGCCCTCGCTCCACTGCCCTACAAACACCCCAGGGAAATTCCCAGACGGCCACGGCAGGGGTCCCCACCCATGGCGTGGCAGGACTTACAGGCGTGCCTTTCTCTCCGGCTGGCCCCGGAGGGCCTTGTGGTCCTGGCCGCCCTGGAATCCCGATGGGCCCTGCTGCGCCGGCCGGCCCTCTCTCCCCCGGAGAGCCCTGCATTGGGGCAAGAAAGCGGTTTGTTCAAAAGACTCTTGAGCGGCGTGACAGGATGCCCCACTTGCTGCTGCCCACCAGAGGCCCCGGGGCCCTCAGAGGCCAGTCTGTTTGCCGGCACCAGGCATGTGTGGCAGGCCCTTATGTCTTCTCTGCCGCCCATCCCAAGCATCTGCCTGTCCCCACCATGTGTGGGAACCTCCCCTCCTTCAGCGCTGCCTTCAATGACCCCTTCCCTCTGCTGGGGGCCAAGTGTTGCTCTTCCTGGGGGCCTCCCACTCCCCCAGGATCACTCCTTGCTCTGCTCATCCATGCTCTACGATGGCAGGGACCCTCCTCAAACCCTGACTGGGTCGGTCGCCAACCCTCCATAGGCCAGCTGGTGGGAGCAGGGTGGCAGGAGCCCCCCCTGCTCCAGGGCCCCCTCCCTGGCCTGCACAGCAGGTGTGAGGTGAAGGGGAATGCTCTTGGTGGGGGCTTGCACACTCACCGCGGGCCCGGGGGGACCAGGGGGACCTTCGTTGCCTTTCAGTCCAAGAGCTCCCTGTGGAACCATGAGGAGGCTGTCAGGCCCTGCCAGTGAGCCAGGCTGCCCACCGTCCACCCTCACCACCCCGAAGGCCCGGCACTCACCACTGGGCCGGGAAGCCCTCTGTCCCCAGGGAAGCCACGCAGTCCTGGAGGTCCGTCTTTGCCAGGGATGCCAGCAGGGCCGGGGTCACCCTGAAACAGAGCCCTGGCTTACTGGGCCTGCCCCCAGCACTAGGGGGGCCTTCAGTCAGTGTTGGGGAGGCCCGGCGGCAGTCAGGTGGGCGTGGACAGATTCCTCCTGGTCACTTATTCCCAACCTCTCCGCCGGGGTTTTCAAGGTAACACTCAGATGGAGGAGGTGGGGAATGTGGAGGAGGTGGGCACTGTCGGTCTGTTGGGGGCCACAGGAAGAAGCTGGAAGACCAGTGAGCTCATCCCAGCCCTGGGGCCCGGCTCCCTGCCGAGGCTGCAGCCCAGGCCGGCTGCACACATGGCCAGAAGCCCCTTGGGGTTTGCAGAGCATCTGCTTGGGACCCTGCCCACGAGCCAGAACTGAGCATGAGAAAACACTAAGTCAGTCAGAAACACCCCGTGGGGGGCTGTGGGGGCTCACCTTCGTCCCTTCTTTTCCAGCTACACCTGGGAGCCCCTGCTCTCCGGGGGGTCCTGGGGGCCCAGGGTGGCCACGCTCGCCCATTGGGCCAGTCTCTCCTGTGGGACCCTACGGGGACAAGACAGTGTCAGCCACCAATGCGCTTCCAAGGGCCGTGCACAGGCGTGCCCCCCCCGTCCTGCCCCCCAAGACTGAGGACAGAGGTCCACCATGCCCACTCAGAGCCCACAATCCTTGGCTCGCTCTTCCCTTCCTACAACACCCAGAGAGGGAGGGACAGGCCCCTCAGCCCCCTCCCCATGGAAAACACCCTAGAGTGGGGTGTGGGGGGTTGGGCAGCCAGGGGGAGGGTCCCTCAGAGGCTCCCACCCATGTGGGGGTGGGGGTGGATGTGGGGGTGAGCTGACTCTGGTGTCAACTCTGGGGGCTGAGTGCCCACTTGCTGGTTGCAGCACCCACAGTGTGGTGGGCCTCACCCAACCAGCAGAAGGCTGAAGTTCCAAAAGGGGGTGCCCCCGGGTTTGTCCTGCCTGAGCCTACGAGCATGTCCGCCGCCAGCAACCCTGACTACTAACTGGCGGACTGGGGCTCATGCCCACTCAGGCGTGCCTCAGGAGAAAGGGCCGGCCCCTGCGGCTAAGAAACCAGCCCCCGGACACAGCTGTGCAGCGCCTCTCTGGCAGACACGCGCGGGAGCCAGAAGTGGGCACCCCTCCATGGCAAATGGTTCTGCTTTTCCAGCAAGCCTTGGCTCAGGTGCCGGCTCTGGGTCTCACCTGCGGGCCCACCACACCTGGGGGGCCTGGGGGGCCGGTCTTGCCTTGGAATCCCTGTGGAGAGACAGAACGCCATGCTGAGACAGCTCACCCCAGCGCCCACCGCATACTTGCGTAAAGCTCCTTCCCGCCAGAGACTGGTTCCTGGCTTCCTTGTACCGATTTCACATGGGTAACTGACGTGGCACGACACGGCACAGCACGGCACAGCCACTTTATGCCCCGGTGGCCTGTGTGCAAGGGCCAGGTGTTAGAGCCAGCCATCTTCATTGCAACAGCAGGTATTCGCTTTTGGAAGAGACTTGGTGGCCAGTCTCTGGGCCAGGATCTAGGTGGGATCTGCTGGGGTCTGGGTGGATCTGCCAGGATCTGTGTGGGTTCTGCTGAGGGTGGGTGGGATCTGCTGAGGGTGGGTGGGATCTGCCAAGATCTATGTGGGTTCTGCTGGGATGTGGGTGGATCTGCCAGGATCTGTGTGGGTTCTGCTGAGGGTGGGTGGGATCTGCTGAGGGTGGGTGGGATCTACTGGCATGCTGTTCTCACTAGTGAGCTTGTGCTCGCTGTCCCTCCTCCAGGCCTCAGAGCAGGGCCAGGACTGAGCCAGGGAGGCCTGGGGCTGAGTCCGGTCAGCAGAGCACAGGAGCTCGGCCACTGGGAGAGCCACCACCTGAACCCTGTGCTCAGGAAGCCGCTGACCTGGTGGCTATGCAGCCCGCATGGCCATCAGAGGAGGAGGCTGCGGGGGAGGCACCCTTCCATAGCCCCAGGAGACAGATTTTTAATCAGCCGTCTGTCCAGCCTCACCACCCGCCACCACGTGTACACCCCGCAAGTTCACGGCCAGCTCTGGCTGTGGACAACCAGGCCAGGCTTGGCCTCCTAAAAAATCCAAGGGGCTCTGCCTCAGCCCAGGCCAGCCCAGCAGCCCACGGTGGGCTGGAGGAGCCCCTGTCCCACGAGGCGTCCTTTGCAAGTGGCAGTGGGGCCATGGGCAGGGCCAGGGTGTGCGCCCTGTGGTGGGCTGTAAGGGTTTCTGTTCACTCAGCGCTACCTGACGAGCTGCCCTGTGAGGCATCCGTCCAGCCCCTTGTTGGGAAAGAGTGCGACAACCACCAGGAAGAAATTAGAGCCATTCAGAGGTCCGGGCAGCCAGGACCAGGACAGGGCAGCCCTTCCTCCCAGGGGCCGAGGACGGGGCCGCAGCACCATCATGGCTGCCCGTCCCCTCAGTGCAAGGCAGCGGTAGCCAAGAGGGACGGTTGTTCTTTCCACGGTTGTTCTTTCCACGCAGCGCCTGAGAGCTGAGGCCCTGTCAGCATCCCCCCCACGCCCCACCCCCCAGAGTAGGTCAGAGGAAAAGGCAGACACTGCCACTGGCCTCTTCTGCAGGCAGGGGGACCACACAGGAGGGTGGGCCCCAGGCAGGTTTCCCTTTCCACCCCCACCCCCGCAGCCCCCGCCCATGAGGGCACAGGTCCAAGAGGTTCTCCGGCGGCCATCAGGAGCACGGATAACTAGGCACGAGCCCACTGGCCCTGGCGTCTGCTTTCCTCCTGAGGGTTCTTCCAAGACCCTCTGCCCAGCCCAGTTGCCCTGGTGGCATGGAGCCTCAGTGCTGGGTTTAGGCGCAAGGTCAGCAGTTCAAATCCACTAAATGCTCAGCAGACCCTGAAACCCACAGGGCAGCTGTGCCTGGGCCATGGGCGGCGAGGGCCTAGAGCTGACTCGGGGGCAGAGGGTAGGGACAAGGAGCCCCAAGAGGCCAGGGGACATTCTGTATCCTGTGCCGTGTCCGCTCCGTGTTCAGGCCCATACCAAACCTCTGTCCTCACAGGGCCGGGGCACAGAGAGAGGACAGGGAGGTGGGCCCACAGGGGTGGGTGCTCAGAGATGGACAGGGAGGTGGAGCACAGGGGTGGGACACAGAGATGGACAGGCCTTGGAGACAGGGTAGGGCACAGGGACATGGGGACACAGGGACAGGACATGGAGAAGAAATAGGAAGGAGGCGGTCAGAAGACATTGAGTCCCCACCTGGTCACAGGCTGGAGTCTAAAACCCCAGCTGCCCCCTCACTGTCCCCCTGAGGGACACCTCCTCTGGACAGAGTGTGGAGCTGGGCCAAGTCCCAGGTGGTTAATGGAGAGAGGTCTGGTGGAAACCCCCTCTTAGAGCTGAACATGCTGGGGTCCTCCCGGGGTCCTGCCCAGGCAGAAGAGGATGCTGGGTCGTAGTGACCCCTGGCGCGCCCCTAGCAGAGTGCTGAGAGAGAGCCCGAGGTCACTCCGATCCGTCACCTGAGAAGCGGAGGTTTTCTGTTATAGGAGCCACACTTTGGGGTCAGTGGGAGCGGAGGTGACCTACCCAGGCCAACACCGAGATGATGTCTGACCCTTGAGCCTTGCGGAAAGGGGTTTCCTGAACTCACCCTCAAACCAAACTCCAACTCCCTGCCACCCAGCCAATGCCTCCTCCCAGGGAGCCCCCTGAGGGCCTCGGAGACTGTCACTCTCAGCAGGAGTAGAAAGCCCGTCTTTCTCTCACCTGGTAGCTGGTGGTTTCAAACTGCTGGCTTTGAGGTTAGCAGCCCAGGGAGTAACCACTTCACTGAGGACGCTAACGAGGTAGAACACTCTGCCGGTGTTCTTCGAAAACGGTGCACACGGCAGCATGGGCCCCAGGGATGGCAGCGGCTAGGCTAGGGCTGTGTACTGTCCAAGGAACTCGGTGCTGGGCCGTCTCCAGAGCAACTCGTAGCTCCTTGCGGCGCGGCAGCGGGAATAGGAGGAGCCGCAGGGTGCTTCTTCTCTGAGACATTTCTGACCCTGCTACTGGCAATATGGAGCCCTGAGGTGGCACTGTGGGTGGAGCCTTGGGCTGCTGACCCAGAGGGCTGGGGGTTCAAACCCAAGAGCTGCTCTGAGGGAGCAAAGGGAGGCCGGGTACGCCTGTCCTGTTGGGTCTCTGTGAAGCGACTCAACCGCAGTGGGTTGGGCTGGGTCTTAGTCTGGAGCATTACCTCAAGGTCAGCAGTTCGAAGCCACCAGCCGCTCCTCTGGAGAAAGAGGGGGCTTTGCACTCCGGTAAAAAGTGACACTTTGGGAACCCCACTGGGGCAGTTCTACCCTGTCCTGTAGGGGGCTGTAATCAGAATCGACTCAGCGACTGTGAGTTTTGCTTGGTTTGCTCTAAATCCCTCAATTAATTCCTATCATTGGCTCAATAGGATGTTTGCTTTAACACTTTAAAGGAGGGTATGGAAGGACAACCCCCCACGTCCCTGACAGCTGGAAAGACACCCCCCCCCCATGTGCACAGCGGGGGGCGGGGCCGGGGGAAGGCCCAGGTCGTCCCTTCTCCCTGAAGGTTTGTCACTAAAGGACGGAGTGCGGCCATCACCCTGGACTTTGGCGGTGAAAATGCATGGGGTGGAAGCAGGAGTTCTCAGAGGGACTCGAGGCTGGGGACATCTGTTTGTCCCCAAAGACCACGCCCGGCCTCTGTCCCTGCCCACAGACGTCCCGAAGGCTACTGGGGGCTGCTGGGCCCCAGCCCTGAACTCTGCACACAGTCCTGGCACCACGTCCCCCAGGGCCAGCGGTCCCAAGCAGGGCAGTCTCTGGCTACCCTGAGCCACAGAGCGCCCTCCGTGAGCTGCAGGAGAGAGCCCCGCCCGCGGTGACCCCAGCACCCAGTACTCACAGTCTCGCCTCTCTGCCCAGGGTGTCCCGGGAGTCCGTCCTTGCCTGGCGGGCCCTGCAGAAAGGGGCAGAGGAGAGAGTCCCACTCCATTCCGGGCAGCTCACACCGCAGCTCTAGTGAGATGGCCACTTTCCTTCAGGGTTAGCCTGTCTGTCAGGAGGATGAGTGGGGGCACAGGCCCCATCAAACCCTCACAACCGCCTGCACTCATGTCCGGGGGAAAGGCTTAGTCTCTCCACAGTCTCTCAGGGCAGCCTGGTCCCTGGACAAGGACAACGTGCTCGGTAAAGCAGAGGGCAGAGAAAAAGGGGAAGTCCCTGGACCAGGTGGGCAGACGCAGCGGCTGCAGCCAGGGGCTTCCACACAGAAACGCTGGCGGGCAAGGGCAGGACCAGGCAGGGCCTCACTCTGCGGTCCGCCGGTCACTGTGAGTCAGAACCCACTCGATGGCCTCCCGGAACCACCACAGCCACAGCCACAGCCACATCCGGGAGCCTGCTCATGGCCTACAGGTCCAGACCGTCCACTCCACAGAGCCAGACTTCTTTCTGATCACAGCCTTGCGACTTCCCCGGGGGCCAATTGTCCCCACCTCGGCTGGCAGGGGGCTGCCCCTGCACTCCGGAAGTGCTAGCCCCTGTGCAGGTGACCCTATTTGGAAATAAGTAGGGTCTTGGCAGTGGGATTGGGCTAAGATGGGGCTTCTACTGGGTTAGGGTGGGCTCTGACATCAGGGACCGGTGGCCTTCCAACAAGGGAGGGACACGAGGACACACACTCAGAGGCCTGTGTCCACCAGCACGAGCTGCATCCCTACCCCGACCTCCCCGGAGGAGCACCCCATGCCTCCCCCTCCCAGCACGCCCCAGGAAGGACAAGAGTCCCGGGAAGTCTTGAAGCCAGAGGAGCATCCCCAGGCATGCCTGGCCAGCAAGGAGAAGGCACTTACGGGGGGGCCTTTGGGCCCAGGAAAGCCTGTGGGTCCTTGAGGTCCGTTGGGTCCCTGTGGACAGAGAATGAGCAGTGTGAGCAGGGCCAGGCAGGCCCCTCTGCCACCCAGCCCCAGCTCGGGGGGGAAAGGCCACTCCTCCATGGCCCCCAACCCCATGCCCGCCCCTCCGGGACCTTCCCTCTCTGACGGCAAGGGGGAGGCCAGGCACAGGGCAAAGTCACAGGTCCCTCGGGGTGGTGGGACAGGGTGGGGACCCAGTTTATGGGCCAGGGGGGGTTGGAGGTAGGCCTCCAACACCCAGGTTTCAATCCCACCATTGAACACTGGGAAAGCCCCTCTCCCCACTTCCCTCTCTGCAGAAGCACAAGGACACCTTCTGAGGAGACTCGAGAGGGCCCTGGGGTGGGGGGCACTTACCCGTTCCCCGGGGGGCCCAGCTGGGCCATCACCTCCAGAGCTGCCCTGGGAGAGAGAAGAGAGACGCTGGTTGGAATTTGTTACTCCTCCTCTGAGACTCTGGCCCAGGCAGCATCACAGTCTCTTGGCCAACGGGGCACCTGGGGTTCGTGAAGGTCACCCCCGGAGACCCTCTGGCTGGTCGGTGCTCCGAGGCTGTGGCCTCCACAGCACTGAGAGCTGGGGGGCCTGGAGTTGGGGTCAGAGGGACAGGCCACACCCTGGTGAACAGCACGCTCTAGGAGGGACACAGACTCTAGTGGACAGTGGCTGGCCTTCGGTGGCCACTGCCCATCATGCCCCAAGTTAGCAGTAGCTAAGCAGGAGCTGGGCTTATGGGGGAAGCTGGGTGGAGCTCCCCGAGGGGAGGCATGTGTACAAGGAATCCATGCTGAGGACTGGTGGGGCTCTGGTGGGGGAGGCAGGGCTACGCCTGGCCACCACCGGGGAGGCTGGGGGTTCAAGGCCTCCCAGAGACAAAGCAAAGGAAAAGCCTGGCAGTGCACTGCCCGGAAACGGGCCACTCTTGGGCCCACGGAGCAGAGTGGCCTGGGTGTACCACCGGGGTCCACTACAGCCAACAGGGAGGACAGGGTCCTGTGGTCTCAGCCAACCTCCTTAGCAGGCCCCAACTTTGGAACTGGGTTCAGACTCCTGGGAAGAGCCCATGGCTGAGGTAGATGGTCCCTGATTCTAGGTTGGCGGGGGAAGGCGTGCAAGGGGCATCCCCAGAGTCCCCTGGGGGCTGCTGTGTCTGGGGGACGGCGCTAGGTCCTGGCACCCCCGAATCCCATGCCTTGATTGAGCGATCTGATGGATGACTGTCACATGGGGAGTGGATGCTTGCTTGTGCACAGGGAACTGCCCCCGGAGGTCTCACCCGGCCAGGGACTTTGGGACCAGCTGACTGGCCTGCTTTCCAGCACCCACAAGGGCCTTTCTTTTTCTTTCTTTGTGGGGCTCCCCATCTGGGTGGCATAGTGACTGGTCAGCAGGGGCCACCCACCTCTGTCCAACACGGAGGAGGCAGACGCGTACAACCTACCTTAGGACCTGGCTTCCCGGTGATACCTCGGGGGCCTCTCTCACCCCTCGGGCCCTGGGCGGACAGAGAAGGCAGGGGTCAGCACCGACCTGGACTCCTGAGCCCCGCCCCCACCACTCCCTGAGACCACAGAATGGTTACCGTCGGGCCCCGCTGTCCCCTCGGCCCCGGCTTCCCAGGGGTTCCCTAAAAACGAAGCAGATGGGTTAGTCACCCCCACATGTTGCTCCCAGGGCCAGAGCCCCCTGCAGCTTCCTGCTCCCTGTTTCCTGGACAAGTGCATGCCGTTCGCCCAGGCTCGGCCCCTCTTCCCCCAGGGCTGGTGATCGGTAGTCTCCCACCTCAACTCACCTTCCCTCCCTCTGTGGGGGCATGTGCTGGGGGGGGGTGTCTTTATTGCAAGGGAAGAGAAGAAAGCGGGCCTCTTCCATGCATAATTCACTTTGGTTACTACAGTTGGAGATATTACCCATTAAATTTTCAGCAGGCTCTCGGCAGACACGCAAACTGACAATTTAATACCGAAATCAGAGCCTGCCTCCCGCCACATGCAGGAGCATTGAGGCAGCCTCGGTGGCTGGAATCTTCGGCATTTTCCACCCACAGGGAAATGCTTTTTATTTTCGTATTTCATTATTATTCATCCCTCCCCCCAAAAGCAAAGCTCTCCTAGCCAAGAGGTGTCCTTTCCTGCAGAATGGTGGGAGGGAGGGGGCCCTGCTGGCTTTCTGGGTTCAGCCCCTGAGTGTGCACTGAGTGGGCCTGCAGGGAGGAGGGGCTGAGGGGCGAAAGGCCCCGCCCTCTCCCCTCCCCGGCTGTCGGCACCCACCCTGCCTCCTGGCCTCGTGTTTTGAAAGGAGTCTAATACCACCACTTAAAACGATGAGTTAATTATGTTGCTTTTTAACCACACACTGCAGCTCCGGCGTATTAATTATGTGGCAGGGTCCTTCGGCGTCCAATAAATAGTTGCTCATGAAAATTAATGAAACATCTGCTTTCTTCTGGGGAGCGGCCTCTTTTTCCCTCCCCCGCAGGAGAAGCACCTGGTCAGATGTGGCTCCTTCCTGGGGTCTGTGGGTCACCCACTGTTTTCTTTCTGACCCTCTCCGTCCCTGCCCCCAATGCCAAACCCAGCACTCAGCCCTGGTGACACCCCGGTGACCCAGTGCTGGGGGTCTGAGACCCTGTAGGAAGCAACCCAGAGGGCCAGTCCCCAAGTCCAGCTGGGCCTCGCCTGGTCTCTGGCCCAGAGCTGAGGACAGAAGCTGTCCGGCAGAGGGGCGCCCAGTCTGTCTGTCTGCGGGTATGTCCTCGGATGGGCATTTCTAGAAGGTGGCTCTCGGTGGCCAGGCCCCTGGGGTCCCACTAAGCAGGGCCCAGACCAGGGACAGGCCGGAGATGGCCATCAGTCCCACTGCCTCCCCACCACTGCTCACGGCAGCTTTTGATGGAAGAGACCAACCATGCCCACGGCCTCCTCCACAACGGACACTCCATGGGCCCGGTGCCCAAGGCAGGGGGCTCACTAGGCCTCACAGAAGCTGAGAGCCGGCTCCAGCTGAGGGCCCGGGCAGCTTGGCCTTGCTCCTACCTCCCCTTTTGTATCCTGCCGCCTGCGTCCAGTGGCTTGTCCAGCCCTAGTGGGGCGGCTCACCTGGGCATCGGTGGCAGAATCGCCCACCCTGCGATTTATCCATACATGTCACCCACCCGGGAACACGCCCATCCCCCCCTCGCAGCTGGTCCTGGGCTAGTCTGAATGGCAAACTTTCGTCTTTGATTCTCAGGAAGGGCTTTTAACCACAGCCAAAGCCCCTGAGGTGACTGGGTTCGAGGGGCAGCCCCCACCCACGGCTTCCTCAGCTACCACCCTGGTCTGTCTCCTCAGCCCGGCCACCATGCTCCTCCCAGCACTGTCCCTGAGCTGTGCCCATGCTGCTCAGCTACGCCTGGAATAAAGACAGGCGTGTGGCCGGCACCACCATCTTCACCACTCGAGGCAAGGCTGTAGCCCAGCAGAGGCAGATGAGCCTTGTCACCAAGGACTGACCAGCGCTGGGTCCTGCGGGCAGTGGGCGGGGCTGGAAGGACACCCTGTGTCCCTCACATAGCCACTGCTCACTCCTGGCTCCAGCTGGACACGGCCGCATGGGTGAGGTACAGAGGACACGTGGTCTTGAAGTCCTCACAAGGGCATCGGTGGGGACAGCGTATCTGATGGGGACACAGCCAGAGCCCCTCCTCTAGTGGGGGACCTTGGGCTGGGCGATGGCTCTGCAGCTGCTGCCCCCATGGGCACCGCCCAGTGTCCATTCTCAGGGACCCTGCAGGCTCTGAGCCCCATTGGAAGGAAGTGCCCTACCCTGCCTGATTCCATCGGAAGCACTCGGGGCAGGTGGCGGGAGGGGCGGTTGCTCAGTGCCAGCCCCACTGCTTTCTGGTGGGGCTCTAGGGCGACAGCAGCTTGGTGTTGATGAGGGGAGCAAGTGGAGGGACCCAAGGACACCCCCTTCTGTCCTGCGAGAAGCAGGCTGGAGGGGGGCAGGGCGCCCCAGGCGGAGGGACGCGTCCAGGTCTCTTCCCAGCCTGTGCCCCCCCCCCCCGCCCCCACCACACCCTGCTGGGTCCAAGCAGAGCCCCAGGCACAGTGCCCCAGTGCCATTCAGACTTACCCTGCCACCCTTCTCTCCGTTGGCACCAGGAAATCCAGGAAATCCAATGGAGCCCTGAAAGAGAGATGGGGCGGGGGTAGGGGTGGGTCGAACCAGTCTGTGCTGTCCTCAGTGTCAATAGCCACAACCCATTCAGGCGACTTCTACTTATCCACCCGTCCATCCGGCCAGCCACCCACCCACCTGTTGACCCATCCAGCCAGTCATCCACTAACCCAGGGGTGGGAACGACTGGTCCGAGGGTCTTACAAGGCCCTCAAAGCCACCCGCACTAGCTGACGTCACCAGCCGCACCAGAGCCAGACAGCCCCAGACACCACATTCACTCCCTGCCGGCAGCCGTGCTGTGCTGGCTCAGAGCTACACTGCAGGGCAGCATCGAGCCGCCCCTGCGAGTTCCCAGGCTGTCACGACACCAGAGCTGAGCTCATTGAATGCTTGACCAAAACAGCAGGCTACTGTTTAAGTTGACAACGGTCAGTGAATGATGTTACAAATCGACAGTGGCCCTCGGCAGAAGAAAGGTTCTCCACCCCTGCTCTAACCCACCCACCCATCTCTCCATACACCCATCCACCCAGCCACTCACCCCCACCCCATATACTCAACCAGCTACTTAGCCATTCATCTATGGCCCCTGCATTCACTCCCACCCCTATCCTGTCACTCCTCCACCCACCCACCCACCCCACCTATTTGACCACCCACTTATTCATCCACTCAGCATCCATCCAGCTAGTCATTCACCCCCCACCCCCCAACCCATTCACTCATCCATACACCTGGCCATGTACTTTACATCTGCTCACCTATCCATCCATCACCCAGCTACCTACCCATCCATTTCCCCACCCAGCTACCCACCCTCCATTCACGCACACACGCACACACACACCCTCCCACCCCTTCATTCAGACACACACACACACCTCCATTCACACACATATCCTTCCACCACCCCCATTCACACACACACCCACACTCGTGTGCCCATCCACAGATCCATCTATTCATCCATCAATCTAGTCATTCCCCAGCCAGTATTCAGTCACCCACCCACTCACCTAACCCACCCATGTATCCCTGCACCCAGGCCTGTGCCTCTCCATTGCCCACCTACTCCCTCTTCACCCACCTGCCCATCTATCTACCGCCTATCCACTCAGCTGCCTCCTCTTCTACCTATCCACCCTCATCCACCCACCCATCTATCTGCCCACCCGCCCACCCACTGATCCACTCAGCGGGGCATCTGCTCACTAGAGGCCCACGGTTCATTATTCATGGGTCTGCCCGCTCATCCTCCTGCCCATCCCCCCCAAATATTCCCAGGAGACCACCTAGACTCCTAGCGTGAGACTGCAAACTGAGCCTTACCCTCACTTCCCCCCATCCGCTGCTGCCCCTCACAGGCCACGTCCACCCGACTCTGCTGAGTCGGGACAGGGAACAGTGTGGCATGCAGGCACGAGCCTCACATTTGCGACATGGGGCTGTCACCTTGGCTGCCAGCTTTGCTGCCTTCCCAGCATGCCATCACCGAGTCTCCCAGGCTTCTGAGCCAGAACCTGTGTGAATGCACCCAAGGGGGCCAGTGGCCCCTCAGACCAGACAGGGGATGCCTGGTGGGTACTTTTTTGGCCAATGCCAGGAGGCTAGCTCCCCTGACTGAGAGGACATTTGACCACCCAGGGACACTGGTGGCCCTGGCATCCCTCCCTGGGGCCTCTCCTCCTTACCTGGCTCCAGATGGGCCCTAAAGGTCCTTGTGCCACCCCACCCCCAAGGGCATGCAGGGTTCCCAATCCTGTGCCCTCCAAGGGTCGGAGCTTGTCCCCACCTCTGATGTCCCCCTACCGGCCCAGCTGGAAAGGGCATCGAGGACCCCTGGAGTGTGGAGCCACCAGCACCCCCACACTCCACAGTGGGGTGACCCCTAGAGAGGCATCGCAGCATCTTACCACAGCTCACTGGGCACTCGGGCCGCTAAAGCCCCGCTCTCACCCTCACCTGCCCTGCCAGCCCCAAACGTCTGCTCCTCTTCCCTCCCCTGACAGACTCGTGTTTAGAGAGAGTGGGTGTCCACCAAGACCCCGGTCACCCAGCAGGCAGGTGACATTAGCCAGGTCTGCAGGTGGGTCACAGAGGCCTCTCTCAGACACCGGCTGTGACCGCCCTCCTGTCAAGGAAGGAAGGGTGGGAACAGAGGCCCGTGGCTGGAACAGAACCACCTGGACCGAGTGCCTGGCCCACACGCACTCTGCTGAGGAAGCCGGGTGCTGGGGGCAGGCATGCCTGGGAGAAGGGCACTCAGAAACAGCAGGAGGTCACCGTGTGGCTGGCAGGGCCTCTCCTGGCCTTGCCTGCCAGGCAGCTGGCTGGTTCTAGGGCAGAGCCGTGAGTAATGAGCTGTGGGATTGGGGGCGGCAGGTGGGTGCCAATGCTTTTGGGAGCTGCCGGCAGTCTGCGGCTTCTACAGGAGCGTGATTTCTTGTTGGGAAGGATGTTGCCTCCCACCGAGTCTCAGTTAAGGACAGGTGACCTTGGAATCTCCCAGAAGGTCAGATCAAGAGGTGAAGCAGCCCCAAGTCCCTGAGAGGGGAAGGGGAAACCCTGCCACCTTCAGCCCCAGGTCTGCCCCCTTCTCTGCAGTGTCCACTCAGGCCACCTCCTTCCAACTCAGCCAGAGGAAGGCCCTGGGGGACACGGAATGAGGCCCGGAGGGGACAGTACGGGGTGCCGACAGCAGCAGCCCAGGACCCCTGAGAGCCTCCCCAGAAAGCTACCAGGAGGTCGGGAGGTTGTTGGTTTACCTTGGGTCCCTGTCTTCCTGGGTACCCTGGCAGCCCTGGGACGCCAAGCTTGCCCTGGAAGAGATGAGAGCTTCATTAGGCAGTGCCACCTGGCCTCTGCCTCCGGCAGGCGGAAGCCAGCGTGTCAGGACTGGAGAGTGGTCTGGCACGGCCACCATGGAGGAGGGCAAGAGCTAAGGCAGGCCCCGAGCACTCCAGGCCTGGCCTCAGACACAGGCCCTGAGAGAAGAGGTCAGAGGGCTTCTCATCTGCGGTGACCACCTGAGCTGCCGGTGAGGGGTCCGGCCTCAGGGGGGGCCCCCAGGCCTCCCCTCCAGCCCCTGCCAACCAGACAGGTGCCTTCAAAGCTGTGGGGGCGCTGCCCTCCTCCCCCACAGGGCGGAGTATGGAAGCTTCCGTGGAGGTGGACAGCAGGCCCGGCGGGATGAGAAAGCACCGCTGTGTCCCCAAGGCAAAAACGGAGTCCCAGGGGTGCCCGTCATCTGTTCCCCTGAAGGAAGGCTCAGGGTGCCGGCGCTGCCTTGCTCACCTTCTCCCCGCTGGGCCCCAGGGGGCCGGGGTCACCATTGGGACCACCTCGACCCTTCGGGCCTTCAGGGCCGTCCTCTCCTCGGGGACCAGGTGGGCCAATCTCCCCCTGAAAGTCGGAGAAGGGGAGGTGAAGGGAGAGGAAGGGAGTGAAGGAGCCCCCGGCCTCTAACCCCCACGCATGTATGCACAGCTCCCAGGCGCATGTGTGAGGAGCCTCCAGGGAGCCTGGCAAGGCCCTGACCCTGCAGCCAACCAAGCAAGCCTGAGGCTGGGCAAGTTACCGGCTTGGCTCTGCCCACTGCCACTCCCCGAGGCGGCCTGCACACTCCCACCGGCATCTGCTGGCCCCAGTTCCCACCCCGCCAAGAACCGCCTCAAAGTCTAGAGCCTCCGGGCCTGAGCAGCTGCTGACCAGCAGGACCCGGGCGCCGCTTCCCCAAATCAAGCAGGTGAGACCACCGCACACAGCCCATCCTCGGGCCCCTGCTCCACGCCCTAATGTGCACTCCCTGCGGAGGAGCCCCCATAAGAAGCCCCCCAGGGGGAACCCACTCTGTTCAGCCCCTCCCACAGACTCACCTGGCTCTCTGGACCCGAGCCCGGTCCAGAGAGTGGTACTCACCCTGTCCCCTTTGATGCCCATGTCTCCTTTAAAGCCAGGGAAGCCGTCTTCACCCTGGGCAGTGGGACATGGGGCTTCAGTCGGGGCCCATGAGCCCCCCAGCAACTTGAACCCACCCAGCTGGGCTCTGCCCATGCTCAGTACCCCGGAACTATCCCCCTAAGAAGCCCGCCCAGCAGCCTTTGCCTCCCAGAGACCCAGGACTGGGTGATGCGTTTGAAGAGAGGATCAAGATGAAGAACATCCTAGAAATCTGAGCTGCTGCCAACACACTGCCCAGGGAGGGTGCCGAGAGAGGGTGCCCTGGGAGGGTCCCAGGGAGGGTGCCCCAGGAGGGCGGTACCAGGCAGAGACCTGGCAGGAAAAGTGCCGCCCTCGGGCAGGGCTGGCCAGACAGTGACAGCTGATGGCTAAAACCAGTCACATCCCTGGGCGCAGGGGCTGTCCCTGCTGGCCATCTGTGAAGGTGCAGGCGGCAGGGAGTCCCTCGAGTTCAGTGGTCTGCTGTCCCCAGTTCCCTCACCCCAGGGAACCGCAGAGACCGCTGCTCAGACATTCCCCTTGGGGGTCACCTGGGACCCTGGCTAGCATCTGTCTCTGACCCAGGGGCT